CAGTCCTTACACAGTGTATGTGACTCTTACAGTCAATATACAATATATGTGACTCTTACAGTCCTTACTCAGTGTATGTGACTCTTACAGTCCATGTACAATATGTGTGACTCTTACAGACCATACACAGTGTATGTGACTCTTACAGTCAATATACAATATATGTGACTCTTACAGTCAATATACAATATATGTGACTCTTACAGACCATACACAGTGTATGTGACTCTTACAGTCAATATACAATATATGTGACTCTTACAGTCAATATACAATATATGTGACTCTTACAGTCCTTACACAGTGTATGTGACTCTTACAGTCAATATACAATATATGTGACTCTTACAGACCATACACAGTGTATGTGACTCTTAAAGTCAATATACAATATATGTGACTCTTACAGTCAATATACAATATATGTGACTCTTACAGACCATACACAGTGTATGTGACTCTTACAGTCAATATAAAATATATGTGACTCTTACAGTCCTTACACAGTGTATATGACTCTTACAGTCAATATACAATATATGTGACTCTTACAGACCATACACAGTGTATGTGACTCTTACAGTCAATATACAATATATGTGACTCTTACAGACCATACACAGTGTATGTGACTCTTACAGTCAATATACAATATATGTGACTCTTACAGTCCATACACAGTGTATGTGACTCTTACAGTCAATGTACAATATATGTGACTCTTACAGTCCATGCACAGTGTATGACTCTTACAGTCAATGTACAATATATGTGACTCTTACAGTCCATACACAGTGTATGTGACTCTTACAGTCAATGTACAATATATGTGACTCTTACAGTCCATACACAGTGTATGTGACTCTTACAGTCCATGTACAATATATGTGACTCTTACAGTCCATACACAGTGTATGTGACTCTTACAGTTCATGTACAATATATGTGACTCTTACAGTCCATACACAGTGTATGTGACTCTTACAGTCCATACACAGTGTATGTGACTCTTACAGTCCATACACAGTGTATGTGACTCTTACAGTCCATACACAGTGTATGAGACTCTTACAGTCAATGTACAATATATGTGACTCATACAGTCAATGTACAATATATGTGACTCATACAGTCTATACACAGTGTATGTGACTCTTACAGTCCATACACAGTGTATGAGACTCTTACAGTCAATGTACAATATATGTGACTCATACAGTCAATGTACAATATATGTGACTCTTACAGTCCATACACAGTGTATGTGACTCTTACAGTCCATGTACAATATATGTGACTCTTACAGTCAATGTAAAAAATATTTGACTCTTACAGTCCATACACAGTGTATGTGACTCTTACAGTCAATATACAATATATGTGACTCTTACAGACCATACACAGTGTATGTGACTCTTACAGTCAATATACAATATATGTGACTCTTACAGTCATGTACAATATATGTGACTCTTACAGTCAATGTACAATATATGTGACTCTTAAAGTCAATGTACAATATATGTGACTCTTACAGTCAATGTACAATATATGTGACTCTTACAGTCAATGTACAATAAATGTGACTCTTACAGTCAATGTACAATATATGAGACTCTTACAGTCAATGTACAATATATGTGACTCTTACAGTCAATGTACAATAAATGTGACTCTTACAGTCAATGTACAATATATGAGACTCTTACAGTCAATGTACAATATATGTGACTCTTACAGTCCATACACAGTGTATGTGACTCTTACAGTCAATGTACAATATATGTGACTCTTAAAGTCAATGTACAATATATGTGACTCTTACAGTCAATGTACAATATATGTGACTCTTACAGTCAATGTACAATAAATGTGACTCTTACAGTCAATGTACAATATATGTGACTCTTACAGTCAATGTACAATATATGTGACTCTTACAGTCAATGTACAATAAATGTGACTCTTACAGTCAATGTACAATATATGAGACTCTTACAGTCAATGTACAATATATGTGACTCTTACAGTCAATGTACAATAAATGTGACTCTTACAGTCAATGTACAATATATGAGACTCTTACAGTCAATGTACAATATATGTGACTCTCACAGTCAATGTACAATATATGTGACTCTCACATTCAACGTACAGGGTATGTGACTCTTACAGTCAATGTACAATATATGAGACTCTCACAGTCAATGTACAATATATGTGACTCTCACATTCAACGTACAGGGTATGTGACTCTTACAGTCAATGTACAATATATGAGACTCTCACAGTCAATGTACAATATATGTGACTCTCACATTCAACGTACAGGGTATGTGACTCTTACAGTCAATGTACAATATATGAGACTCTCACAGTCAATGTACAATATATGTGACTCTCACATTCAACGTACAGGGTATGTGACTCAGTGGGAAAACACCATAATATAGGAAACTTTGAATATAACAATGAAAATCTTATAAATGTGTGAAGTGACCATGTTATTTAACTCAGTGTGGTTAAATTGAATTTATTCACACAAGAAATAAATGCAGACTCTCTTGGCTATAACTTAAAAAATAACATAATAAAAGAATAAGGTATGAGACACTTACATGTCCTCAGGTAGGCGCTGACAAGCACACATACATGCACCTTACAAGCACACATACATGCACCTTACAAGCACACATACATGCACCTTACAAGCATGTATACATGCACCTTACAAGCACACATACATGCACCTTACAAGCACACATACATGCACCTTACAAGCACACATACATGCACCTTACAAGCACGCATACATGCACCTTACAAGCACACATACATGCACCTTACAAGCACACATACATGCACCTTACAAGCACACATACATGCACCTTACAAGCACACATACATGCACCTTACAAGCACGCATACATGCACCTTACAAGCACGCATACATGCACCTTACAAGCACGCATACATGCACCTTACAAGCACACATACATGCACCTTACAAGCATGCATACATGCACCTTACAAGCACACATACATGCACTTACAAGCACACATACATGCACCTTACAAGCACACATACATGCACTTTACAAGCACACATACATGCACCTTACAAGCACACATACATGCACCTTACAAGCACACATACATGCACCTTACAAGCACGCATACATGCACCTTACAAGCACGCATACATGCACCTTACAAGCACGCATACATGCACCTTACAAGCACACATACATGCACCTTACAAGCACACATACATGCACCTTACAAGCACACATACATGCACCTTACAAGCATGCATACATGCACCTTACAAGCACGCATACATGCACCTTACAAGCACACATATATGCACCTTACAAGCACACATACATGCACCTTACAAGCACACATACATGCACCTTACAAGCACACATACATGCACCTTACAAGCATGCATACATGCACCTTACAAGCACACATACATGCACCTTACAAGCACACATACATGCACCTTACAAGCACACATACATGCACCTTACAAGCACGCATACATGCACCTTACAAGCACACATACATGCACCTTACAAGCACACATACATGCACCTTACAAACACGCATACATGCACCTTACAAGCACGCATACATGCACCTTACAAGCACACATACATGCACCTTACGAGCACACATACATGCACCTTACAAGCACACATACATGCACCTTACAAGCATGCATACATGCACCTTACAAGCACGCATACATGCACCTTACGAGCACACATACATGCACCTTACAAATACAATGATTCAGAACCAAGTCTACACATAAAAGACAAGTGATGAAAATACTGCACACATGTGGCTATAGCTGTCCAAGACATGTGGCTATAGCTGTCCAAGACATGTGGCTATAGCTGTCCAAGACATGTGGCTATAGCTGTCCAAGACATGTGGCTATAGCTGTCCAAGGCATGTGGCTATAGCTGTCCAAGACATGTGGCTACAGCTGTCCAAGACATGTGACTATAGCTGTCTAAGACATGTGGCTATAGCTGTCCAACATATGTGGCTATAGCTGTCCAAGACATGTGGCTATAGCTGTCCAAGACATGTGGCTATAGCTGTCCAACACATGTGGCTATAGCTTTCCGACACATGTGGCTATAGCTGTCCAAGACATGTGGCTACAGCTGTCCAACACAAGTGGCTATAGCTGTCCAACATATGTGGCTATAGCTGTCCAAGACATGTGGCTATAGCTGTCCAAGACATGTGGCTACAGCTGTCCAACACATGTGGCTATAGCTGTCCAAGATATGTGGCTACAGCTGTCCAAGACATGTGGCTATAGCTGTCCAAGACATGTGGCTTCAGCTGTCCAAGACATGTGGCTATAGCTGTCCAAGACATGTGGCTACAGCTGTCCAACACATGTGGCTATAGCTGTCCAAGACATGTGGCTACAGATGTCCAAGACATATGGCTATAGCTGTCCAAGACATGTGGCTACAGCTGTCCAAGACATGTGGCAATAGCTTTCCAAAACATGTGGCTACAGCTGTCCAAGAACATCTGCAAATTAACAAGTTATCATTCTCAATGTTCAAGTCACACTTTCAATTAAATAATGCAAAATAAAATTTTTCATTAAATATATAAAAATACAAATGCGGTCATCAACAGTAATCACATGCGGTCATCAACAGTAATCACATTCGGTCATCAACATTAATCACATGCGGTCATCAACAGTAATCACATGTGGTCATCAACAGTAATCACATTCGGTCATCAACATTAATCACATGCGGCCATCAACAGTAATCACATGCGGTCATCAACAGTAATCACATGCGGTCATCAACAGTAATCACATTCGGTCATCAACAGTAATCACATTCGGTCATCAACAGTAATCACATTCGGTCATCAACAGTAATCACATTCGGTCATCAACAGTAATCACATGCTGTCATCAACAGTTATCACATGCAGTTACAAACCAGCTAAATTTCATTGTACATGGGATAACATTGGTCATCAAAGAGCACACTATGAGGCATACACCTCCATGGATCACCTGTTGCCTGCAGCCACTGAGCCAACGTTTGGTTCAGCTGTTTGAAAACCTGGCTGTAACCAGAGTCATAAGCCCGGTTCTTCAGCTCCTGCGGATCATTCTCAAGGTCAAACAGTTCCCACTCATCTCGGTAGTAGTACTGGCGCAGGCCCTTGAACCAGTGTGTTGGCTGTCCACTTTTTGTTCTACAGGAGAGGGCAAAATGTTCATATGTTATTTGGCAATGTGAAAACATAACCATTTTACACAAATTGACCTACAAGGCAAAGAAAATTGTAGAAAAGGATGATACAATTGTTTAGACAAAAATATTTAACTCTTCTGATGCAAGGGATTGATATTTCACAAGTACAAACATTCTAGGATAGCGACTTTCGACTAACGATCATAGCAAATACAGAGGATAAACTATAATGTCACACTGATTGCTTCAATCTGGTTGAAAATACCAAAAGTGATTTATTTTGGCTTGTAGGACCACATTTATACAGGGTATTTAGCCCGGCTCACTAGCATAGTTGGTTAAAGCTGACTTTGCAGCGACCGGGTGACGAACTCCTTGTGGTGCGGGTTCACGCCCAGGGATAGGCAGAAAAGCCACATTTCTCCAAGATTTACGGTACCTATCATGGAATCAAGGCTGAAGAGTTGCGATATCCATAGTCCCGAGCCAAAGGGTTTACAACTCATGGTTTCTGGATAATTTAAAAAAAAATTCTGGGTAGTTTAATTGGTGAATGTAATACCATTAAAATATGAAAATAAAGGGGCAGAAACACTGAGATGGACAGTTAAACTATCTCTGGAGTGAATTAAATTGAATAGCACAGAGACTGATGTTTGTGATAGGTACCATCAATGACACACATTCACTTGATTATTCTACAGTCAGATGTATTTAATACAACTATTATTTTTTTAAATTCCAGCCGCATACAAGTCGATAATACAAAAAATCAAATGAACAGAATCATAAAAGTGCTTGGGTGCAAAATTTAACTGCTCCAACATGCTGAGAGAAGAAATGCAATCTAGAATACAATCTGGAAATAAAGTGTTTTCATCAATCAGTGTTCTGACTAAACTGTCAACAATGACAGGAATCTGCTCTCTCTATAGCTTCCGTCAAGTGTGATGTGAATTGTAATATTAATGTTTGGAGAGGGAGGCATAATTATCCATTCAATTCTAAAATAAATGTCGGTAAGGTGGCAAACATGTTCAAAAGCCTCCTAGGCCTGACCCATACAGAATTGGCCTCGTTTTAGTCAACTTTTTTTTTGGCTTGAATAATTCCTCATAAAGTGGGTGTCGATGGTCTGACTTCACTTTCAAGAAAGCAACAGCCCTGGATAGCTTGATTCTGTTTTCTGTTGTGGGGAAATCCAAGAGGTATCACATGGATTTACAGGAGATGTCTCTAGTGCATCCAAGAATAATACACTTTGCCTCGTTTTCAATTTTTTCCAGTCGGTTCATCTGTGTGGTGCTGAGTGTCATAATGGCCAATGCATATTCAGTGGTGGAGAGAACGATACAACATTACAAGTAAACATTGCTCATAGTTTGCAGCTTCCAAAACTTTTACTGCAGAGAGACCTTTTTCGGCTTTGGTTATAATGTGGTCTACGTGTTTTTTAAAAGCTAAGCATCTGTCAAATGTTATACCCAGGTATTTCATTGAATCAGATCTCTCCACGTCAGCGCCACAGAGTTTTACTATCGGCATTGATGTTTTGGAAAGGTGATTATTCAATGAGAACCAGGTGACTGTCGCTTTTGATGGATTAATTGTTGCCCCTGAGGTGTTGCACCAGGATGATATGCGATCTAATTCCCGTTAAAGACCTGAAACAATGTCATCTCTGTTCCTGCCCTGTCGGTACACGAGGATGTCATCCGCATATGATAGGGTTCCTCCTTTACCACTCAGTTGTTCTCCTGTGATCTTGACTGTGTAAATGTTGAAGAGTATAGGAGACAATGGAGAACCCTGTGGCAAACCAGGGTGTATTGTTATCGGCTCAGAAGACCAACTACCACATCGAAGCACGACCTTCCTCTGGAAAAGTGTAGCAAATATCCATCGAATGAGATGTGGGGGGGGGGGGGGGGGGGGGGGGGGGAGAGGGGGGGGGGGGGGGGGGGTGTGTTGAGTTCAGTTAACTGACACATTAGTTGGTGGAAGGTAACTTTTTTGTATGCATCCACCAGATCTATGGCGACTGCACATGTTTCAAATCTAACTTGAAAAACTTCAAATGTGTCATGTGCAAAATGGCAGCATTACCCCGTATTTTGTCTGTATCCTCCAAGTGTGGAGGGTAGCAGCTTATGTATTTCAAGATGGCTTGCCAGTCTTCTCGCTATTATCTTTTCCAATGGTTTGCCTAACGTGTTCTGCATTGTAATGATTCTATAGCCATTTATGTGCGTGGCGTCTTTGCCAGGTTTTTCTAGCGGAATCACATAGCTATGCAGCCAGGTTTCTGGGATGGTACCATTACAGATGCTGTCATTGTAGGCTTTACATAGGACCTCCATAGAATGTGTGGGCAGCTTGGCATTGTCTTCATAATGAATGCCATCAGAGCCAGGAGCAGACTTCTTTGATGTTTTGAGGATGTTCTTAATTTCAGCGACCGTAATAAGCTGAACATCTTTAATGCTTGTACCGGCACATGTTGCAACGACCATATCCATGGTAGTATGACGGGTGGCAGTGTCTTGCGTGCAGATCTGCTTGAGGTATCTGTCAAGGATTGCTCTGTCTTTCTCTTCATCAGACCTGTTCCATGTCTGGTCATCATTATGGAAGTCTCTGATGTCTCAGCGTTTAAATCACCCTTGATCACAGGCATTATGACAGCTAATAGACTGAAATGGTTGGGGCATATTGAGAGAATGTCAAATGACAGAGAAGTGAAAACTGTATACACAAGGTGGATGAATGGTCGTAGACCATGAGGCAGACCAATAAGAGTATGGAGAGATAATGTCCAGACAGACCTGCAAACACCTGATGTCACCAAGTGGAAACAGAACAAACGAACGAACAAACTTTATTTTCAAAGGGTTAAAAATTGGGCACGCAGGCCCGTCTAACATTCGGCCCTTCTACATGTTAAGAATGTAATAAAGAAATATAAATTATGGAATAATGTATAAACACATCATATGTACACAATATTACACACTCAAACACACACACACACATATACATACTCTTACATTCTCATACATGCACACTCATATACTGACATACGTAATACATACATACATGCATCTACATACATACACAAACATAAAACACACACACATACATACATAAAAATACATGCACAAACATAAAACACACACACATACATACATAGACATACATGCACAAACATAAAACACACACACATACATACATAGACATACATGCACAAACATAAAACACACACACATACATACATAGACATACATGCACAAACATAAAACACACACACATACATACATAGACATACATGCACAAACATAAAACACACACACATACATACATAGACATACATGCACAAACATAAAACACACACACATACATACATAGACATACATGCACAAACATAAAACACACACACATACATACATAGACATACATGCACAAACATAAAACACACACACATACATACATAGACATACATGCACACACACTTTCCATGTATACACACCTACACATGCATGCATACACACACATACAATCACATATACAGACACCCACAACCACACATTTACACTCACATGCATAAATACACAAACATGCATACATATATACACATCTATACATACATTCACACAAATACACACATACTTGCAGACATACATAAATACACACACATATAAACACATACTTACACAGTTAAGGATTGATATGTGGTACATATCGAGGTACAGTTTAAGTTAAGGATTGATATGTGGTACATATCAAGGTACAGAATAAGTTGAGGATTGATATGTGGTATATATCACGGAACAGTATGAGTTAAGGATTGATATGTGGTACATATCAACATGCAGAATAAGTTGAGAATTTATATGTGGTAGATATCACGGAACAGTATAAGTTAAGGATTGATATGTGGTGCATTTCATGGTGCTGAAAAAGTTCAGGGTTGATATGTTGTACATGTCATGGTGCAGAACAAGTTAACTCATTTCAGGAAATAGACAGGCAGCGACAAATTCACATAAAAAAAACCATTTGCAAAGAGCTGTTTAAATTACCTGTTTAAAATATCCTGAAAAGTCCAGCTGTTATACAAATCTGTAGCAAGTGGATAAGGAGCCCCATGGTTAATGTTATGTATCAGCCGGTACTGTTGATTAACTATCACTCTCATGGGGTATGCCATTGTAACCTTTGGAAGTAAAACAGCCACAAGCAATCAGGTCAAGCATCGCAATCTGTTATCAGTGTTAAAACAGAACTTTCACTTCACAACTTGATATAATGGGAGCAGTTGCCACACAGCATTCAGACACTGGATTTCTTTTTTTTTCTCTTCATGCACAGTCATATACAGACATACGTAATACATACATACACACATCTACATACATATACAAACATAAAGCACACACATACATACATAGAAACAAATGCACAAACATAAAACACACACACACATACATGCACACACACATTCTATACATACACATCTACACATGCATGCATGCATACACACACATTTAATCACATATACAGACACCTACAACCACACATATACACTCACATGCATAAATAAATACATGAACATGCATGCATACATACATACACACATCTATACATACAGATCTGGTAAAAAAGTGACACACCATATATATGTAGGTTTAACCTGACACAGCATACTTTTCTGAAGTCTTTATAACCCATCCAATTGTTATACTGACACACTATCTTATTTTTTCCTTTAACTCCTTCTGTCCCAATTCTTACTACAACTCCTTCTGTGTCAATTCTTACTATAACTCCTACCAATTTTTTTTTCTACAACTCCTTCTGTCCCAATTCTTACTTGAGTTGATTTGAGTCAAGAATTGACATCACGGCACTCGGGGCATTCCAATGCATGCTCCTTCCTCATCTTCAGCAGCCAGCGCAGAGTTCCAATACTGATGGTACTGGTCACAATCTGGTTATATGTCCGTCTTGCCTTTCCTCTAAGTGTAGTGAGCCGGCCAGACCCTCTGGTTACACCCAGGTGCCTCATTCCCTCCAGGCCATAATAATCTTCTATCTCTACTGAATCCATTGCTTGTTCCCAAAGGGCCATGACCACATCTGCCTTGTATGTATCAATTCACCACCCAATGGTGCAGATGCAGCCAATCTGTCTGTCTGTTCATTACCCACCATGTCGGCATGGCCTGGAGAAAAGATCAACAGTATGCTCACTACCTGTGACCTATCCAGTGAAGCTTGCCACTCTGCTCGATGCATCCCTGTCTTCCCCATTCTGAGCATGCCTTCAGAGTCTGTTACAATTTTACAATTATGACATGTGTATGCATCTTGTTCTCTAGCCACCGGAGAGATGCAGTTACTGCCTCCACCTCTATTCTCATGCTAGATGTTGTGATGTCATATGCTATAATGCCTTGTACTAATGCTTACTACACCAATTCTTCTGTGTCAATCTTACTATAGCTCCTTGTGTTCCAATTCTTACTATAACTCCTTTGTCTCAATTCTTACTAAAACTCCTTCTGTCCCAATTCTTACTAAAACTTCTTCTGTTCCAATTCTTACTTTAACCCCCTCTGACCCACAGTGTTGCTTCAATTGCTTTAACTCCTCAGGCCCCAAAAATGTCTTCAGGTAACAACATCTTACGTGGAGTCTTACACCTATTTGGGCAGTAATGTAGATAAAAATGGAGGAACTGATAGAGATATTCAAATAAGAATACAAAAGGCAAGAGGAGCTTTCATAGCACTAGGGAATTTGTGGAGGTCAAAAGAAATGAAAAAAATTCTAAACTAAAATTTTTTAATTCTAATGTAAAATCAGTACTTGTGTATGGGGCGGAAACATGGAGAACAACTAAGGAAAATTCTAATAAATTACAGACATTCATTAACCGGTGCCTGCGCAGAATAGAGGGAATTAAATGGTATGATAGATTAACTAATGTAGAACTTTGGGAGAGAACTAAACAGGCTCCAGTGGATCAAGAGGTGAGGAAAAGATGCCGGCCATCGATAGGACACAAACTGAGAAAACAGCATATCTAGAATGTCTTTGCATTGGAACTCACAGGGGCATAGGTATAAAGGAAGGCCAAAAAACACACAAGAGAGCTGGAGAATGAGGTTAGAAAGATTGGGAGGACATGGGGAGAGCTCCATGTAATGGCGAAGGATAAAACGACTTGGCGTGAGTTGGTTGAGGGCCTATGCTCCAATGGGGGATAGGAAGGCTGAAGAAGAACAACCTCTTAGGACAGAGCAAGCTAAAGTTACATCTGCTTGGTGATGAAAAAGTTTACAAGGAATAGAACCCAAGTCGCTTGATACATGAGGAAGATTTCATTACACATTAGCCCTTTGCCTTGTCTGCAATAAATATGACAAAACAAAAACCTAGTGTGATGTCTGTAAAAGAAATGCTGAATCATTCTTGTATGTATATTTAATGTGGTTAATATTACCAGTCTTGGTAGGAACAAACATTAATCTTATCTAATTCCAACATGGCAAAGTACATCTGCACAGTAAAAGACAAAACCACACTCAATAATCTCTTTGAAAAACATAAATATGGTGTAATTTGCTTGATATCATTGGAATATGACTTAACTCATTCTTTCCCATCCAGTTACATGAACTTATTCTGTCCATCACAACATGAACAACAACTGTCTGTGACATATTGAACATGACAGAGATCTGAAATGCATTCTTACATACATATTGTCAGGATTACACCACAAATCATACCATGTCAGATACATGGTTTTTGACCAACATGGCGTGTGATGGCTGATGAGGTATTGTTAATTCTCATAAACTTTCCCTGACTTATTTATTCAGGTGGCTTCACTCAAGATAATGTGGTCATGGGAAACAAATCAGACTTCAAAGTGGATTTTAATCCAGGTCTACCTAATACTTCAAGGTTGATTTTAATCCAGGTCTACCTAATACTTCAAGGTTGATTTTAATCCAGGTCTACCTAATACTTCAAGGTTGACTTTAATCCAGGTCTACCTAATACTTCAAGGTTGATTTTAATCCAGGTCTACCTAATACTTCAAGGTTGATTTTAATCCAGGTCTACCTAATACTTCAAGGTGGATTTTAATCCAGGTCTACCTAATACTTCAAGGTGGATTTTAATCCAGGTCTACCTAATACTTCAAGGTGGATTTCATTCAGGTCTACATGGCCTGATGGCAAATAATCACTATGGTTGAAAAACTCAAGTGGTCGTGTACATGGCTTTAGTTTCAGAATGAAGGAGAGCAGATAAAATAACCAACCTCGTGAAAGTTATGGCTGCTGAAGACATGAGTGAAGCCGCTGGCAGCTGGATCAGCAGCCAATGGGAGCAGAGACCGCCCTGTCAGAGACACCCGGCCACCATTGAGCATATACTGGGGGTAGCTAATGTTGAACCAGTCAAGTATCGTCGGAGCAAAGTCCATGGTGCTAGCTAGAGCATGGGAAAACTGAGGACAACACAAGAGTATACAGGCAATAAACACAATCTGTCTATACAGGCAATAAACACAATCTGTCTATACAGGCAATAAGCACAATCTGTCTATACAGGCAATAAACACAATCTGTCTATACAGACAATAAGCACAATCTGTCTATACAGGCAATAAGCACAATCTGTCTATACAGACAATAAGCACAATCTGTCTATACAGGCAATAAACACAATCTGTCTATACAGGCAATAAGCACAATCTGTGTATACAGGCAATAAACACAATCTGTCTATACAGGCAATAAAAAAAAAACAGAAGTTATGAAGATCAGCAGAACACACAGGCCACTGAATATAAATGTTGGAAGTGCCAAAATCAAGCAAACCAAAGAGTTCAAATACTTGGGCAGTATATTTACAGAGGATGGAAGAATGGACAGAGAGATAGAAACAAGAATACAGAAAGCAAATGCTGTCACATACCAACTATCACCTCTGCTTAAACATCCAGATATAACCATGAAGACCAAAAGACAATTGATAAACACCATCTTCATTCCAACACTCTGCTACCAGTGCCAGACATGGACAATCAACAAGACCCATGAAAGAAAAATAGAAGCCTGTGAAATGAAATGTCTAAGAAAAGCAGCGAATAAGACAAGACTAGACAGGATAAAGAATATAGACATTAGAAACACTGTCAAAACTACACCATGTTTAGACTACATAGAACATCAAAGAATGAAATGGTTTGGACATCTAACCAGGATGAAAAATGATCAAATAACATCACAAATTTTCAATCAAAGAAGCTCAGGATATAAGGCAAGAGGAAGACCAAGGAAACGGTGGATTGACGGGGTCTCCGAAACCTGCCAAAAGCATGGCCTCAGAACATCAGATGCTGCCCGCCTTGCTTATGACAGGAACTTGCATCTCCCCACAACGCTTAGCGGCATACGTGGAAGGAAAAAGTAAAGTAAGTAAAGTACAGGCAATAAGCACAATCTGTCTATACAGGCAATAAACACAATCTGTCTATACAGGCAATAAACACAATCTGTCTTTACAGGCAATAAGAACAATTTGTCTATACAGGCAATAAGCACAATCTGTCTATACAGACAATAAGCACAATCTGTCTATACAGGCAATAAACACAATCTTTCTATACAGGCAATAAGCACAATCTGTGTAAACTTTGCTACCTGCTGTAGGAGATGGAGCACTTAAAAGCACATCAGAAATGTTACATGACAACTGCACGGACAAATTAGGTACATATTCTACTTGTGTGTAAGTAAGGGAGTCAGCATGTGTAAACTTTGCTACCTGCTGTAGGAGATGGAGCACTTAAAAGCACATCCATTCTGACTGGAAGTCCTGTAGCTAATATTTATAAACTGTGGTATCTAATGTGTAAGGTGGAGAACTTATCTGCACATAACAAGTGCAGTGCGATCATCTTTGTTCTAGTGACCACCAGGCACTTTCTTTCAAGTGTATTCAAGTTTTTCTATAATGTATTAAACTGCTGCCTACAGTCAAGTAATAAGATATCAAACTGCTGCCTACAGTCAGGTAATATGATATCAAACTGCTGCCTACAGTCAAGTAATAAGATATCAAACTGCTGCCTACAGTCAGGTGACATGATATCAAACTGCTACCTACAGTCAGGTAATATGATATCAAACTGCTGCCTACAGTCAAGTAATATGATATCAAACTGCTGCCTACAGTCAAGTAATATGATATCAAACTGCTGCCTACAGTCCTACCTTTCCCCAGTTGTCTTTATGAAAGGGAGATGACATCATCATAGGCTCGCCCATGCCAGGTTCATACAGGTTTGTTTTAGCATTAGGAAAGGGAATCCCATTGTCAGCTGTGAAGAGAATCAGTGTGTCCTCCAGGTGGCCTGCATCTTTCAGTTCTTGAAGGAACAGACCTACCCCTGTGATTTCCAGATGACATTTCAAAATGTGTCAGTAAAATGGCTTTAAATACAGCTTTACTAGAGGGCTTTAATGGATCACCACACAATGAACAAGAATGGACTTTATAATAAATACTGACAAGACAGCAACAGCAGTATGTCATCCACTCAAGAAAATGATGTCACTGGCGATATCATAGTTGCTGTGTTAAACAAGCCAGAATAATCACTAAGCACAGGCAGTGAAGGAAGTTCAAGTAAATCCATCAGAACAAAACTCTAGATGGTGTCATCTGCCATGACAGAGTTTTATATGAAAAAGCAACTTCAACTTTCCTGTCAACATCAAATTATACAAACAAGTTACATGTGGCTTCTTTCTATTACACGGGTGAAGAAGCTGAACTCTCACTGTGAATAAAAAAACAAAGGATCCAAGCATTGGAAAAGATATTCTGCAGGAACATTTTGCATGTAGCATAAAGAGCTTATTACCAAAATCTGTGTTAGAGAAGAATGTAAACCATCAAGTGTCACTGTTGTCAGTGAGGAAACATCAACAGCTCACTCAGTTCAGACATGCCTGATGTCAGTGAGGAAACATCAACAGCTCACTCAGTTCAGACATGCCTGATCTCAGTGAGGAAACATCAACAACTCACTCAGTTCAGACATGCCTGATGTCAGTGAGGAAACATCAACAGCTCACTCAGTTCAGACATGCCTGATCTCAGTGAGGAAACATCAACAGCTCACTCAGTTCAGACATGCCTGATCTCAGTGAGGAAACATCAACAACTCACTCAGTTCAGACATGCCTGATGTCAGTGAGGAAACATCAACAGCTCACTCAGTTCAGACATGCCTGATCTCAGTGAGGAAACATCAACAACTCACTCAGTTCAGAGCCTGATGTCAGTGAGGAAACAACAGCTCACTCAGTTCAGGCATGCCTCTCAGTGAGGAAACATCAACAGCTCACTCAGTTTAGGCATGCCTCTGAGGAAACATCAACAGCTCACTCAGTTTAGGCATGCCTCTCAGTGAGGAAACATCAACAGCTCGCTCAGTTCAGGCATGCCTCTCAGTGAGGAAACATCAACAGCTCACTCAGTTTAGGCATGCCTCTCAGTGAGGAAACATCAACAGCTCGCTCAGTTCAGGCATGCCTCTCAGTGAGGAAACATCAACAGCTCACTTAGTTTAGGCATGCCTCTCAGTGAGGAAACATCAACAGCTCGCTCAGTTCAGGCATGCCTCTCAGTGAGGAAACATCAACAGCTCGCTCAGTTCAGACATGCCTGATCTCAGTGAGGAAACATCAACAGCTCACTCAGTTCAGGCATGCCTGATGTCACAACATCCTCTCACAGGTCATCTTTCAGGCAACAGTTGACAGCAGATGGAGAAGAGGAAGCCAGAGAAAGTCACACAGTGAAAATATGAAAGAAACAACAGGATGCAGTATTCTTATACTTGTGTGGCTGAGGACAGAGAACCTTGGGCAAGTCTGATTGCTGAAGCTGCTATCAGCATTCCCCTACGATTTATGTTTGGGGCTACAAGACGAGATGAAATAATGAATCAACCTGGCCAATCTACAGGCAACCATACACCAGATTTAACCACAACTAGTTAATGTCATCTAGGAAATCATCCTCACTGAGTCATCCATCCTGGCTGTCTGTAATGAGCTCTCCAACTCACCAGGACAGGAATCCAGTTGGTGCATGTATACAGACAGAACAAATGAACAAACTTTATTTTCAAGGGGTTAAGAACTGGTCATACAGGCCCATCTAACATTCTGTCCTTCTAGTCTTCTAGACATCATTTCATTGAGACATCAAGTACAGTAAACATTATCAAAAGCATCAACATATTGAATACAAGCACTGACATGTGGACATTCTAACTACAGTAAAGTGTAGTAGCTGTAATAAATCTAGGGGCAATGTGCGCTATGTCTAAAATATTTTTATCTTCTATGGTGGCATGTAATCTGTCTCAGATAATATGCAAACAGTTTCCTTTTGTATTTATGAGGACTAGAGGTGTTGTTGATTTGTTGTGGAAGATAGTTCCACAATTAAGCTGCGGAGTATGCCAAACTTGTTTTGTATAGGTCTATCCTAGATTTAGGGATGTGTAATACATTTAGACGTTTGCTGTGCCTTCCACTATATTTAAACAATGGCCATAAGTAACTTGGAGTCTTTTGGGATCATATTTTATTAATAAATTCTGCCTTACTGAAAAGTAGACGTTCACGAAGCGGTAGCAGCATAAGACTGTTATATGTTTCAGAGCTTACTGTCCCATCATTATTACTTACTAAGCAAATGACACGCTTTTGCAGTAACGTGAGCTGCTTGATAACAGAACTGGAACAGCCATCCCATACTTTATAGCAATAGTCTATATACATCAATTTTTTCATTAATAAAGTTTTTATTGTTTGCAAGTTGGTAAACCTTTTAAGAAATGTGTTTAAGAAGTGCTTGCACATGAGCGTTGAAGGTTAGATTTGCATCAGTGACCAGTGCTTTGTGCTCAGTTACACATTCCACTTGATGTAGAGTTAAAGCACTCTCTGTGAATTTGAACTGGAAAATTTTTGTCTGGTCATTATTAGCAAAGATTTTGTTTAATTAATGTTTATTTGCAGGTCCATTTACCTTTATTATTTAATTCTTGCTGCAATTACGACTCTAGTACATTACATGTTTGAGAATTTGTATAGATGGTACAGTCTTCTTCTTCTTCTTCTTCACTTCCTCTTTTACCGCTGTGGGTGTCGAGGGAGATATAAGGTTCTGTTTCTAGCTCTTCTGGCTGCCTCGACCATAGGCACATCGTACTGTTGTAGAGTTTCTCTGATGTTATCCTTCCATCTTGTTCTTGGTCTACCCCGTGCTCTACGTCCTTCTTCTCTTCTCATGTATGCTTTGTATGGTATGGTGTCACAAGGCATTCTCTCTAAGTGGGCAAACCAATTCACTTGCTGTCTTTGTATGTAATCCAGAATTGGTTCTGTGCCGACTTGTTCTCTTATGATCTCATTCCTGATCTTATCTCTTATGGTCACTCCTACAGCCCTTCTCAGACATCTCATTTCCGTGGTTACTAATTTTCTTTTATGGTTTGTTGTGAGTGACCATGTCTGGCACTGGTAGCACAGAGTTGGAATAAATATGCTTTGAATAAGATGTCTCTTTGTGCTGATTGGGATTGCCTTATGCTGTAAGAGGGGTATAGCTGTCCCAATACTTGGTTTGCTTTACTGCATCTAATGTCAATTTCTTTATCCAATTTCCCATCTTCGGTAAATGTAGTTCCCAGATATTTAAACTCAGATGCCTGTTTAATGCCTTTGTATTCTATTGTTATGTTTAACATAACATATGATTCTCATATTATTTGTTTTACATTCTTCATTCATGGATGTTAGATGTTGTTGCAATTTCATGGCTGTATCTGCTATCTAGGCCTGGTCATCTGCAAAGAGTAATTCGTTGATCTTACTAAGATCTATTATTTACTTTATTTACCGCTACAAAAATCAAAATGAGATATAAACGGATGGTACAGTCGTCAGTGAATAAATCACAGGAGGATGAGAGACACAAATGAAGATCATTTATGTAAATACTAAATAAAAATGGGCCGCGAATCGAGCCCTGATGTACCCCGATATTCATGGCAGTGGTCCACGATAGGAGTTTATTGTATGAGATCACTTGTTTTTTATTTAACAAAAAGTTTTTTATCAACTTTAATAGGGTTACATTTCATTGCTTCAAATTTTCTATATGTTATGGTCTATCAAGTCAAAAGCTTTCTTAAAATCTATAAACACTCCGCCATATATTTTCTCATCATTAATATTCTGGTGCCAGTACTCTATCAGCTTAGTTAAGGCAGTATGGCAAGAATAGTTTGGTCGAAACCCTGATTGGTTATCAACCATAAGTTTGTTGCAATCTAAATATTGAAATGTTACATTTTGAATATGTTTCTCTAGTGGTTTTGATAGTGATGACAACAGGGAGATCGGTCTACAGTTACCTGGAATACTACTGTCTAGGGAGCCAGATTTTAAGTCTGGATAAACTCTGGCAATCTTAAATGCCACAGATGGACAAAGATGGTTATTTCAGAAGAGACGTCTAGTTAATTCCCACTAGTCTACAAACATGCTGACTGCCCTCACCCTGATCCATCCGGTTGAAGCTGGTGTACATGGCAGCAATATCCTGTCTGGTTGCTGGAGTGTCTGGCAAGAAATACGGCACAACAACTGAAGCTGGGTCATACGTTTCTGGCTTCCAGTCTTGAATTACTCCCATCCCTGGTTGTCCATTGCCCCAGTTATTCATGAAAGGACCAAAGTAGGACTGGTTACTGCCATTACCTCGATGGGTATCATAAAAAGCTATGTACAGGAAGAATGGCCTATGGCGGAAACAAACATGATAATTATATAAAGTATATACATACTGATATATATCTATGACAGACTAGCCAAGTCAATGAATATACCAGTCAGATGAGGACTTTTCAAGTGATCAGTAATTAGTGATTAGAAAGGATTATCATCACAGCACTCCGGACAGATCCATAAGGGCTCCGATCTGCTCCTCAAAGGCTCTACCAGTGTAAAACGACTGATGACGCCTGTTCTGTGTTGGTTAATGAACCGTCTTGTCCCCTTAGTGAAATGTTCATTTTTTTGCAGCTCCAAGCTGCACTCCCAGTCTAGACAGGGATACAGAGTCATGTCCTTTGGCGTGCTGCTCAGTAGGGTAAGTGATGCACATGGCATTGCTAACATCACTTCTGTCCAGTACTATACCAGCCATAGCAACCGCAGTGTCAGCAAGATAGTCGGCTAACTTGTTACCTAGAACACACACTTTTCAAGTGATGATACAGAAGATGGCTTGTCATCGTGGAACAGTCCTTTTCTTCTGCCTTACCATATACTTTCAGTATGTTACTTTTACTTGCTTTTCCATCATCTGTCTATATACAACTTCTGCCTACCCAGCCCAGGAACTGTCTATATGTCAATGTTGCCTACACAGCCCAGCAACTGTCTATATGCCACCCAGCCTAACAACAACCTATATGCCACAGTTGCCCACCCAGCCTAACAACAACTTATATGCCACACTTGTCCACCCAGCCTAACAACAACCTATATGCCACAGTTGCCCACCCAGCCTAACAACAATCTATAAACCACAGTTGCCCACCCAGCCTAACAACAACCTACTTGCCACAGTTGCCCATCCAGAATAACAACAACTTATATGCCACCATTGCCCACCCAGCCTAACAACAACCTATTTGCCACAGTTGCCCACCCAGCCTAACAACAACCTATATATCACTGCTGCCCACCAAACCTAACAACAACCTATATGCCACAGTTGCCCACCAAACCTAACAAGTCTATATGCCACAGTTGCCCACCCAGCCTAACAAGTCTATTTGCCACAGTTGCCCACCCAGCCTAACAACAACCTATATGTCACTGTTGCCCACCCAGCCTAACAACAACCTATATGCCACAGTTGGCCACAAAACCTAACAACCGATATGCCACAGTTGCCCACCAAACCTAACAACAACCTATATGCCACAGTTGCCCAACCAGCCTAACAAGTCTATATGCCACAGTTGCCCACCCAGCCTAACAACAACCTATATGTCACTGTTGCCCACCAAACCTAACAACAACCTATATGCCACCGTTGCCCAACCAGCCTAACAAGTCTATATGCCACAGTTGCCCACCAAACCTAACAACAACCTATATGTCACTGTTGCCCACCAAACCTAACAACAACCTATATGTCACTGTTGCCCACCAAACCTAACAACAACCTATATGCCACAGTTGCCCACCAAACCTAACAACAACCTATATGCCACAGTTGCCCACCAAACTCAACAACAACCTATATGCCACAGTTGCCCACCAAACCTAACAACAACCTATATGCCACAGTTGCCCACCCAGCCTAACAACAACCTATATGCCACAGTTGCCCACCAAACCTAACAACAACCGATATGCCACAGTTGCCCACCCAGCCTAACAACAACCTTTATGCCACAGTTGCCCACCAAACCTAACAACAACCTATATGCCACAGTTGCCCACCAAGCCTAACAAGTCTATATGCCACAGTTGCCAACCCAGCCTAACAAGTCTATATGCCACAGTTGCCCACCCAGCCTAACAAGTCTATATGCCACAGTTGCCCACCAAACCTAACAACCTATATGCCACAGTTGCCCACCCAGCCTAACAACAACCTATATGCCACAGTTGCCCACCAAACCTAACAACAACCTATATGCCACAGTTGCCCACCAAGCCTAACAAGTCTATATGCCACAGTTGCCCACCTAAAATTTCACTTTTGCTCGCCTAAAATGTTTCTACATACCCTGTTGCCCACCCACCACTCTACCAATAGTCTGTACATAAACCAGTATTAACTTTCTATCGTCTTTTAAAACATTACAATCACTGACCTGTCATGTGCCTATCTATGACTTTGGCATACATTTCATTTTTCTAAATGCTACTACTGCCTACCTGTCATCTTTCTGACTCAAAAACTCCCGAACAAACTGCTTCATGAAAGTAATGTTCCTGCCGATTTGATCCTGGTTGTACTGATTTTCTGACCTCTCATAGTCAAATGTGTAGACACTTTCAGGGCCTAAATGCTTCTTGCCAATGAGACCTTTGATCCACACAAAGAACAAGAATTAATATATGGGCACAGGGAGGGGGAGGGGGGGGGGTGAAGGAGAGGAGGGGCATCAATGGGTTGTATATCACACTAGTTTCATGAACAGAATTAGAAAGAAATTTTTTTTTTAATGTTAACCGTTATTTTTAAAACTACAAATTAGGCAATACAAAAATGTCTGTTGGCAATCCTAGACAGACACTAGGAGTTAAATCTTGCACTAACCGTATACAAAGTTGACCCAGTAGCTCACGATGAGTCCTGGGATGGAAGCAGGACATCATCAGATTCCAATACTTCAGTTTTTCAAGAGTGAAATACTTAAATAAATATTTCTGTAGCAGCAACATCAACACAACAGTTAGTTTAGATGTAATGAGGAATGCAAACACAGAATAGAGAGAAAGATAGGATGACAGAGAGAGAGCGAGAGAGAGTGAGTGATCAGATGAGTCGGTTTGTGAGTTACAGAGCAAACAGAAGAGTGAGTGAGAAAGTAAATACTTATTTTTTTTTATTTCTAATAACTTTAGGTCATGAATAGAGGGATTGACCAGCTGGTGCTGCAGAATCAGAAGTTCAAAAAATAATTCATGACAATTTCCTCCCAAGTGATGTGATATATCTATATAGGTGGCTCTGTGTTGAGAGGCAGAAGAAGAGCATGGATGTTCACAGCAAAAGCGAATCGACGTCCCTTAGTGCAGCAAAGCCTTGCATTTGATATCACAACGTCCAGTTTGAGAAATGAGGTGCAGGCAGTCACTACTGCCTCCCAATGGATTCAGAATCAGCTGTTCACACATGTCATCATTGTAACTACTGCCTACCGATGGATTCAGAATCAGCTGTACACACATGTCATCATTGTAACTACTGCCTCTCAATGGATTGAGAATCAGCTGTACACACATGTCATCATTGTAACTACTGCCTCTCGATGGATTCAGAATCAGCTGTACACACTTGTCATCATTGTAACTACTGCCTCTCAATGGATTCAGAATCAGCTGTACACACTTGTCATCATTGTAACTACTGCCTCTCGATGGATTCAGAATCATCTGTACACATGTCATCATTGTAACTACTGCCTCTCGATGGATTCAGAATCAGCTGTACACACTTGTCATCATTGTAACTACTGCCTCTCGATGGATTCAGAATCATCTGTACACATGTCATCATTGTAACTACTGCCTCTCGATGGATTCAGAATCATCTGTACACACATGTCATCATTGTAACTACTGCCTCTCAATGGATTCAGAATCAGCTGTACACACATGTCATCATTGTAACTACTGCCTCTCAATGGATTCAGAATCAGCTGTACACACATGTCATCATTGTAACTACTGCCTCTCAATGGATTCAGAATCAGCTGTACACACATGTCATCATTGTAACTACTGCCTACCGATGGATTCAGAATCAGCTGTACACACATGTCATCATTGTAACTACTGCCTCTCAATGGATTCAGAATCAGCTGTACACACATGTCATCATTGTAACTACTGCCTCTCGATGGTTTCAGAATCAGCTGTACACACATGTCATCACTGTAACTGACTCACAGAGTAAATTGAGAAAGATGGAGACAGGCATGCTCCGTGCAGAGTAGCAAGCTTCACTTCAAAGGTCCCAGGCAGTAATCGTTCTTTTTCCAGGTCATGCTGGTGTGTTGAGAAACGAGCAGGCAGATAGACTTGGTGGGTGAATTGATGTGTGACAAGCTAGAGTTGTGAGGGCCCTTTGGGAGCGAGTGAACAGTGCAGAGGCAAAAACAGATTATTATGGTCTGAGCAGCATAGTTACCAGGGGATCTTGCCGACGCTCAACGATCATGGTAAAGGTAACACCGATGTACAGTCAGGCAGTTACCGGTACCATCAGAACTGGAACTCTTAACTTGCTGCTGAAGGTGGAGATAAAGCGCTTATGGGAGTGTCTCAAGTGCTATGATGTTCATTCTTAATTCAGTATCAACATTCAGGGAGTCTCTGTGACGAAGTGGCTAAGCTGTTTACCTGTTTCGTAATTTGTAACTTTGATGTTTCATTGTTGTAATTACAAGTAAAAGTGTTAGATTCCTGCAGTTGTGGCACAATCTGTGTTGTGTTCACAAATACAAGTGTTGGATTCCTGCAGTTGTGGCACAATCTGTGTTGTGTTCACAAATACAAGTGTTGGATTCCTGCAGTTGTGGCACAATCTGTGTTGTGTTCACAAATACAAGTGTTGAATTCCTGCAGTTGTGGCACAATCTGTGTTGTGTTCACAAATACAAGTGTTGGATTCCTGCAGTTGTGGCACAATCTGTGTTGTGTTCACAAATACAAGTGTTGGATTCCTGCAGTTGTGGCACAATCTGTGTTGTGTTTACAAATACAAGTGTTGGACAGTTGTGGCACAATCTGTGTTGTGTTCAGAAATACAAGTTTTGGATTCCTGCAGTTGTGGCACAATCTGTGTTGTGTTCACAAATACAAGTTTTGGATTCCTGCAGTTGTGGCACAATTTGTGTTGTGTTCACAAATACAAGTGTTGGATTCCTGCAGTTGTGGCACAGCCTGTGTGGTATTCACAAGTACAGATGTTAGACACCTGCAGTTTTGGTACAGTCTGTGTGTTGTGTGTGACAATCTTATAGATGATCAGCTGCTTTGTGTGAAGATAGACTGGGAAACTCGAGATAAAACCTGGTGCAATGAAGTCAATACTTTTAAAAAACTGTTTTTTTTAAAAAAGTCTATGATGACATCCTGCTTCCAGTAAACAGTTTCTCTGTGTATTAAACACAGGACTGTCGATTGCTGGGGAGTCACTAAGTCTACTGAAGTAGCAAGATAATAAATAAATTTACAGGTATTCATCAACATTAGGGAATGGAAGTTGTGGACATGACAGACAACATCAAAGTGTTAGCAGGTGGATTTACTTTTTGTATGAGTTTTACATTTTCTACGATTTTTCATTTTCTACCATTTTTCATTTTCTACCAAAGTTGGGTCAGTTTAGCTACTGACCTGTTCGAATGTTGTGTTGACTCAAGATGACTGGAAGACTGTGGACATTATCAAAAGACTGAAAGTGATGTACGCTATGCTTCAGACCATACATCCCATTCTGGTGCTGGGGTAGACCCGTTAGTAGCACTGACCTGATAGAAAAAGCACAAAATAATTAATTCAAAACATTTTCTCTATACAATGGAACTCATCTATATTTACAGTAACACTATGTGAATTAATATGATTTGTCGATTCACAACAACCTATGTTGTGTAATATGAAAACATTTTCAAATTAAGTCATAATGATTACATACATAATTACATCTGTATGTATACATTTTAATGATGCTAAATCTGCTAAGAGTATGTCATCCATCAGAACCTGTAGCGGGCCCTACACAGAGTGTTGCTCAATCAGACCCACCAAGAAGTCTATTTTCCATTTGCCTGTACTGTCTCGCTGGAGTTGTTTCTAAACTATATGTCTGCCTATGCATTGGTCAACTACTCCCTCTTCATACAGCAGCCATGACTTCCAGCAATGTTTTTTAAATTCAGTGAGCAATTTTACTTGGTTGAAAAATTTCAGTTTCTAAGATATAAATAGGTCACAGTCAGCGGCAAATGTATATAAATGCACAGCTGAATATGTCTTCTAATTATCTGTAACAAAATGTATGTGTTCATCATGGATGACAAAGGTCACCCTGCTCAAACAGTTCTTAGGAATTAATTAAGTTCCATTTTTATATGTGTACACTGATGGTTGCTGAAAGACAATGTGAGCTGAAAAGATCCTCAACAGTTAAAATGAAGAAATATTTCCTTGGAGTGTAGAAGAAATGACATAAGTTTATGAACCCATCTCAGATGTTTCATTGCTATTGTTCTGGGTGCCTTTTTTGCTCCTATGACTTTACAAACAGATTTGTGTATAGCCATTCGGTCCAGTATAGCAATTTGGTCTAGTATAGCCATTTAGTCTAGTATAGCCATTTGGTCTAGTATAGCCATTTGGTCTAGTGTAGCCATTCGGCCCAGTATAGCTATTTGGTCTAGTATAGCCATTTGGTCTAGTGTAGCCATTTGGTCTAGTGTAGCCATTTGGTCCAGTGTAGCCATTCGGTCCAGTATAGCAATGTGGTCTAGTATAGCCATTTGGTCTAGTGTAGCCATTCAGTCTAGTGTAGCCATTCAGTCTAGTGTAGTCATTCAGTCTAGTAAAGCCATTCAGTCTAGTGTAGCCATTAGGTCCAGTGTAGCCATTAGGTCTAGTGTAGCCATTAGGTCTAGTGTAGTTATTAGGTCTAGTGTAGCCATTTGGTCTAGTGTAGCTATTTGATCTAGTGTAGCCATTGGGTCTAGTATAGGCATCAGTCTAGTAAAGCCATTTGGTCTAGTGTAGCCATTAGGTCCAGTGTAGCCATTAGGTCTAGTGTAGCCATTAGGTCTAGTGTAGCCATTAGGTCTAGTGTAGCCATTTGGTCTAGTGTAGCCATTTGGTCTAGTGTAGCCATTAGGTCCAGTGTAGCCATTAGGTCTAGTGTAGCTCTTATGTTTAGTGCAGCCTTTAGGTCTAGTGTAGCCATTTGGTCTAGTGTAGCTATTCGGTCTAGTGTAGTCATTCAGTCTAGTAAAGCCATTCGGTCTAGTGTAGCCATTAGGTCCAGTGTAGCCATTAGGTCTAGTGTAGCTTTTAGGTCTAGTGTAGCCATTCAGTCTAGTGAAGCCATTCAGTCTAGTGTAGCCATTAGGTCTAGTGTAGCCATTAAGTCTAGTGTAGCCATTTGGTCTAGTGTAGCTATTTGATCTAGTGTAGCCATTGGGTCTAGTATAGGCATCAGTCTAGTAAAGCCATTTGGTTTAGTGTAGCCATTAGGTCCAGTGTAGCCATTAGGTCTAGTGTAGCCCTTATGTCTAGTGCAGCCATTTGGTCTAGTTTAGCCATTTGGTCTAATGTAGCCATTCAGCATAGTGTAGCCATTCGGTCTAGTGTAGCCATTCGGTCTAGTGTAGCAATTCAGCATAGTGTAGTCATTCGGTCTAGTGTAGCTATTCAGTCTAGTGTAGCCATGCAGTCTAATGTAGCCATTCAGCATAGTTTAGCCATTTTGTCTAGTGTAGACATCGGTCTAGTAGCCATATGGTCTAGTATAACCATTCAGTTAGTGTAGCCACTGGATCTAGTATAGCCATTCAGTCTAGTATAGACATTCAGTCTAGTATATCCATTTGGTCTAGTGTAGCCATTCGGTCTAGTGTAGCCATTTTGTTTAATATAGCCATCAGTACCATGTAGCCATTCGGTCTAGTGTAGCCATTGAGCTTAGTATAGCCATTTAGTCTAGTAAAGCCATTCAGACTAATATAGCCATTCAGTCTAGTGTAGCCATTTGGTTTAGTATAGCCATCAGTACGTTGTAGCCATTCAGTCTAGTGTAGCCATTCAGTCTAGTGAAGCCATTCAGTCTAGTGTAGCCATTCAGTCTAATATAGCCATTCGGTCTACTGTAGCCATTTGGTTTAGTACAGCCATCAGTAAGATGTAGCCATTCGATCTACTGTAGCCATTTGGTTTAGTACAGCCATCAGTAAGATGTAGCCATTCGGTCTAGTATAAGATTTTTCTACAGGAGTTTCACCGAGCTGAGATTAAAACTGACATCACAGCCCTCTGGACATTCCTCTCAGTGCACCGTCCCCATCTTCAGCAGCCTTCCAATACTTATGAAACCAGGAACAGTCCACCAGTCTATATTTTACTGTGTTTTTAAAAAGATTCTTTCAGCCACCTGTGAAACATCCTTCCATTAAGCAATATTTCTGGCAATAGAGGGGTTAATATCTGTACCCCACAGAACGACAGGCTGCACCAGGCTGACACAGGTACCCAAATATAACTTCTGAAGTGGTTGAATAGAGTATCTGAGATTTCTCTTGTTGCAGTGCTATCCACAACAAGGTTACCATAATCTTAGTATGGTCAAACCCTCAGCTGGCAGCTTAAAAAGACAAATGGAGGGAAAGAAATTAAACTAATACTAAACTTACAATTGTTTATTCTAATGTCAAATCACTACTGCTTGTAGGAAGCAGAAACATGGACAACAACCAAACCACTTACTAGTAAACTACAAACATTCAAACAGAGGGGATTAAAGGGTGTTATAAAATCACTAATGTCAGGTTCTTTGTGGCGAAGTGGTCAAGTAGTTTGCCTCGTGCTCTAAAGGTCATGGGTTCATTCCATGGCTACACCCTTCAGTTCACAAGTGTAATTTTTACGGCGATCCCTGGGGATCGTCGCCGGAGCCATGAAGTTCGTGTTCTGTGTGGTGCTCTCGGCAGAGGGCTAGCCGATCTGCAGGGAGAGACTGAGCCATATGGATAAAACCAGGTGCAATGAAGATGATCCTCTCGACTTTAACATTTAACTTTAACTAATGTAGAGCTTTGCAACAGAACTAAACAGGTTCCAGTAGACTAAGAGCTGAGGGGAAAATGCTTGTGTTAGATTGGACACAAGCTGAGGAAACCTCTGAACAATATAACTGAAATGTCTTTCCATTGGAACCCACAGGCACATATAATAAAGGCAGAGCAAAAAACACACGTAGAAGAGAGTTAGAGAGGGAAGTTAAAAATACATTAAGTACATGGGGTGAGCTGCATGCAATAGAAAAGCATAGAATGATGTGGCATGAGTTTGTTGAGGGCTTAGGCTCTATTGGGGGACACAAGGCAGAAGAAGGATAGATGGGCTTCCAGCTATACTAGATTGAATGGCTACACTGAATGCAATCTTAGATAACTTGTCCAACTATTATTTGTGCTACTGTCAATGAAAATCACACATGAAGCAGATGCTAACAGCAACATCTGTTAGTTTACAAAACTGAAAATTGCATAAATGCTAAAATAGCACAAGTTCCTTTAGAGGTGTGCGTACAGTTATAGCAAACTCATATAAACTCATCCAACCTATACAACTAAGAAAACACATGTCGGTCAAGCACTAGCCACATGATCAAAGTACTTATCAAAGTGCTTTTCTTTGTCATCTTTGTGAGCCCTATTAAACTGTTACATGAATCCATTCAGTGATTACTATCTTTTCAATTTCTTCTACCCTAGTTACCTGGACTTAAACATTTCCCCCCTCCCCCCAATTGACTAGGACATAATTCTCCCAATCTGCCTAGTCCATATTATAAATTCCACAAAACACAGATCAGAAAAAAAAAGGCTTAATTATTCTATTATTTAAATGAGCACATCATCAATAACATATTGGTTGTGTCTTAGGATCTATAAACTGTTTGAAACCATTGTATTATCTAAACAGCAACAGCAGCATTTGAATGATTTCTGGCAGAATAAAATAAGCAGGTCAAAAGTAGTGAACCAGCATGGAGCAATTCACAAGGCGAAAGTTAATAGTGTCATCATCTTCATCAGGTGCTTTGTGAGCATGACTTTCCACAATCTGTGATCTTCAACAGCATGTTTTAGTTTGTGTGTTAACATCCCTTCATGCCATGATAAAAGGCTGTCAAAAATCATCTCCTGTCTGACTGTTCCACTGATCTTTCTAGTGGTCACAACATGCTACCCTTTCTTCCTCTTGTCATAACATGTCCAAGCAATGAACACTGTTTCTTTCTGATATTTGCGCAAGTTGTCTTTGAGCCTATGCCTCTTTCAAAACTGCATTGCTCTGTTTGACTGTCTAGGGAAATCTACAGAACAGACCTACTGCATTGTTCTGTTTGACTGTCTAGGGAAATCTACAGAACAGACCGACTGCATTGTTCTGTTTGACTGTCTAGGGAAATCTACAGAACAGACCGACTGCATTGTTCTGTTTGACTGTCTAGGGAAATCTACAGAACAGACCTACTGCATTGTTCTGTTTGACTGTCTAGGGAAATCTACAGAACAGACCGACTGCATTGTTCTGTTTGACTGTCTAGGGAAATCTACAGAACAGACCTTCTGCATTGTTCCAGAACTTGAGTTTTGTGTGCACATTTGCTGCACAGATCAGACATGTTTGTTTTTAGACTGTTGGTTCCTTGAATCTCAGGCAAATGGACTCCGACTTCTAAAGACAACCCCCCCCCCCCCCCTTTCCCCCCCCCCCCCCCCCCCCTTTCTGATTCAGTTGACTCTTATGAAATGCTTGTTATGGAGGAGTGGGTCTATTCTTGTTTTCCCCCACAGTGGGTCCCTAGAACCCACACAGGGACAGTTGGTACTTGAACTCTTGACCTTTACGACAGTTATTAAATATTAACTCACCTTTCTAGTTAGGGCTTTAATTTATGTGCCGAGTCGTTACTATTAATTCTCTTCCACACAGTTGTTATTTAACTTCTGCATCCAGTTAGTACTTCAACTTTTATTCCAGATGATTCTAACAGAATTATTCTAATGGTGCTTGTAGGGGTCAGTGATAATGGTAAAAGTTGAACGCTATTGTGGTAGTTACCCTAACAATAATTGTAGCACAGTTAAACCAACTGCTGACCTGCTGGGAGAGCAACTGCTGACACTAGTGTATCCATTACGAAAGATGACACTCTGACTTGCCAGCTTGTCCAAGTTTGGTGTTTTACATACTGTGTTGTTGTAGGAGCTCTGCATGAAGCCACCATCATCAACTGCAAGAAATAACATATATTCAGATGTAAGGTCTGTATAGTTTACACCAATAACAGCATTCTTATACCTTTCCTTTTATCCTGTCAGGTTTAAAAAAAAAAAAAACTTTTTTGTCAGTCTGTGATAAATATTGATGCAGGAATGCTCACCCATATTTCACTGTTCTGTACAGAAACAATAACCCATTTGCGAAAAGTATATGTAGGAACAGCTATACAAATAATTACCTCTCTCCCAGCCTCAGCACTCAATACCAGTGTTTAATTTGCCACCTCTGAATGTTTGTTAGATTCTGTAATTCACTACTTTGTTCCCCATGTGGGTTCTGGGACCCTATTATAGGGAAAACAAGAATAGACCCACTGCCTACCCAAAAGCATGTAGTAAGAGTCGACTAATTGGGAGCTTCCTTCGAAGTCAGAGTGCATCTGCCTGAGAGGCAAAGAACCAGCAGTCTGCACACAAATGGGTCAGATCTGTAAAACAGATGCACACGAACACTCAGGTTTTGGAACAGGGCTGCAGTCCAGAACTTTGCGCCAGAGTTTACAGCTGGTGACAGCGAAGAAGAAGAAGATTACTTTGTATACAATTTGCTACAAAAAGATAATCTTGCTGAAATTGAAACAAACTGGTGTATAAATCAAACTGTTCCTGTCATTACCCAGAATTTAACAACTGCACAAACAAAAGTAGTAGAATATAAGCCATTATCTTCTCTTACCAAAGAACAGAAGCACATTTCCTTTAGCTGCACCATCTACTAGACATGGAAGTAACCAGATGGCCCACAAACAAACTGTTTTAGCAACATGTATATTACTGGGCCTCATGCTTCTTGGTGACAGAGTTTATTAGTGAAGTCTTCTGCCTCAGGTAGGTTTCTACAATTAGAAAAGAATATGCGTGTTTATATAAAAATGTGTCTTCTTCTGCCTTTCTATCCCCCAGTGGAGCATAGGCCCTCAACCAACTCACGCCAAGTCGTTCTATCCTTCGCCATTACATGGAGCTCTCCCCATGTCCTCCCAATCTTTCTAACCTCATTCTCCAGCTCTCTTCTCCATGTGTTTTTTGGCCTTCCTTTATTCCTATGCCACTGTGGGTTCCAATGCAAAGACATTATAGTTATGCTGTTCTCCTGTTTTCTCAGTGTGTGCCCTATCCAACGCCAGCGTCTTTTCCTCACCTCCTGATCCACTGGAGCCTGTTTAGTTCTCTCCCAAAGTTCTACATTAGTAATTCTATCATACCATTTTATTCCCTCTATTCTGCGCAGGCACCAGTTAATGAATGTCTGCAATTTATTAGTAATTGCCTTCGTTGTTCTCCATGTTTCCGCCCCATACAATAGTACTGATTTGACATTAGAATTAAAAATTTTTAGTTTAGTATTTATTTTAATTTCTTTTGACCTCCACAAATTCCCTAGTGCTATGAAAGCACCTCTTGCATTTTGTATTCTTATTTTAATATCTCTATCAGTTCCTCCATCTTTATCTACATTACTGCCTAAATAGGTGTACGACTCCACGTCTTGGAGTGGGGTGTCATTAAGAGAAACCACATTACTATTTGCCTGATTTATTCTCATTATCTTTGTCTTTCCTTTATGGATATTCAGACCAAGCTGCTGTGATCTCGCATTAAGTATATTTAATTTATCTTGCATCTGATTCTGTGAATGGGACAGAAGAGCAATATCATCAGCGAAGTCCAGATCATCAAGCTGTTTTGTAGGGGTCCATTGAATTTCATTCTTGGTGTTAGCAGTTACTGTTTTCATAGTCCAGTCTATAGCCAGTAAAAACAAGAGAGGCGACAAAAGACATCCCTGTCGCACACCTGTTTTTATTTCAAATGCATCTGTTAGCTTTCCCTCATGAAGAACTCGACATTTCATGTCTTTATATGTTGCCTTTACTAAGTTGATAATTTTCTGTGGGATTCCATAGTGCCCCATCAATTTCCAGAGAGATTCCCTATCTATGCTGTCAAATGCTTTTTCATAGTCTATAAATCCAATGTAAAGTGGTGAGTTCAGTTCAATGCTTTGCTCTATTATAATACGTAATGTGGCTATCTGATCAGTAGAGGATCTGTTTGACCGAAAACCTGCCTGCTCATCTCTTAGCATTTTATCAATAGCATCTTTTAATCTTTCCAAAATAATTCTACTTAATATTTTTCCAGGAACTGACAGCAACATAATAAAAATGTGTAATATTGATTAACTCTATCAAAGCATGAATACTTAAAATTTAAAACAAAATTACATTATAGAGAACAAAATATTTCTACAATGACTAACTGTTGCATACCAATGATTATTACCAGAAATCTACAGTATTTACATGTGGTAAACAGTATTTGACCTGAAAATTCTTGATGAAATACTGGGTGTGGCTTTTATTCCAGATATTAGGCCTACATGTCACTTGCACAAATTTATTAATACACAATACAAAAATTCTTCAGCCCTTTCTCTTGCACTCTTACCAATATACAAATATGGGGCCACATTAGCGCAGATGATGAGACTCTCACTTTCAAATACAGCTGTGGCTCTCTGCAGCCCACCGCTGTTGTTAGAAACCAGGCGGTTCCTGTGGTTCACCCAGCCTCTACTTAATGGGTACCAGAGTTAACACTTTGCGATAAATTGAAGATCATCGCTGTAGCTACAGAGTTACATGCGGATGGCGACACAGGTGGAGTGTTTCTTATCAGCTGTCTGTACTGGTGGCAGAGCACTTATGGTTTATAACCGTGTGCAGTGACGCTGGTTCACATCTCCCGACTCTAACTTTACTTCATTCACCAGTATTAGCTTCTCCTAAGTCATAAATTTACATTTTAAAATGAAGTAAGGTTTAAGTTTGCGTCCGTCTGCAGTGATATCTTGCATTAGGGTACACCACTGTTTTTTTCCCCTGAAGTTCAAACATGCACTATATTTTCACCAACTTTCCAAGAATACAGGAGTTTCATCTGCATTCCCAACTGGATTTAAATCATTCTGAGGAAGTCCTATCTTTCACTGCTTACAGGTACTGCTGTTTCATCATTTGTCTCTAGACAAAAGTCTAAGAAAATTATTTTTCCTAAAATTACCATCTCAAAAACTGGGTGCAGCCTGTACACTCATACTACCTACACACTGTAAATATGGCATCATTTCAACTCTGGTCTACACATTTTATAATAATTACAGTACATTTAACCACCAATGTGTTGATAATGGGTTCAATCCCTGCTAGCAGCAAGATCACATGTATGACCCTGGGGTCAGTTTGTGATCAGTACTGCAGAACCTGAGGTTCAACAGCTGATACAAGACATCTTTAGGCCAGCAGGTGTGATTATTTACACTGACGAGTCAGTGACCAGGGGCAGAAAGAGTGGATAAGGCTTCACTGCGAAAGCATGAGGAAGAAGGATAACTTAGGAGACTTTGACATTCGACATTACCACATCTAGCATGAGAATGGATGTGTTCTTATTAGACAGAGAAAATCTCAGCCCCACATACACATTAGATCTGTAGCGCATCCTCAAGAGGGTGGAGGCAGGATATTTCAGAATGTAACAGATTGCATCACAGTTGGTACCATCAGTATGGAGACTACTGGCTGCTGAGGAGGGAGACAGAGCTAATAAGTGATGTGATGTCAAATCTGGACTCAGCTGAACCCAGATTCAGTATTATTCTGGAATTAGCTCAGTCATCTTATAAAATCGGGACCAACGATTTGAGAAACTAAAGGTAACTGCTGAAGTAAGTTCAAGGAATTGTTCAAAGGAAAGGCAGACACATAAGTTACATAATTTATAGATTCTTATGTTGGGGTTGATGGTGATACTGATGGTGATATGCTTTGTGACCAAACATAGGAGTGTTTTCCCTGACTAGTGTGTGAGGCAGATTAAGAACAAAGCAGAAGCAACCTCCAGTATGAGGATGGAGACTGAGGCTGACAGTGTAGCCTTGAAATTGCTCTCAGAGAAAACTTCATTTAGTTTAGTTATTTCAGGACCCTCGCTGGTGCTACAGAACCTGTGCACTGTGCTGAGCTTCTTCGGACTCAAGACTTAAGTTAGAAGAAAAGAAGGGAGCACTTATGGGTTACATGATGTTGATCTGTTTCTCAAACCTGTTTAATTTCACCCCATCTCTAAGCCTCCAAGATTTTTGTAGGAATTCCCAGGAAAGTCCAATAGTATAGGTGTGTTAGGGTGTGAAATTAACACTGACTAATGCTAACCCTAACACCCCCCCCCCCCCCCTTTTTACAACCATAATATTGGAGTTTCCTGGAAATTCAATTTTGGAGGCCTCTATATGAGGTGAAATAAAATAAAAGAACTGTGCATTATGTAAACAAAAAGATCACATAGTGAATGTCAGACTTCCCTGGTGACAACTGGTTCATCTACAACTCCTTCTGGTGAATGTAAAGGATAAACAACAGACAATGCAACCTGTGTATTTCATTTGAAAGGATTTATATTCTGGCCTTTATTATATGTCATATAACTATGTGGTAATGCTCCTGAAATGTTTTATTTGTTTCATAATTTTATTTAAAATTTGGACGTGTAATGTTAAATTAATACCATTAATTTTAGTTTGCATGAGTGTTGAAAGTTTCACCTTTAAGTATCCTGGTAAATTAATTTAGAAACAGAATCCAACATTTACTTACACTTAAGAGCTGTAGCAGTAGTGCAGTTGTCCAGTGGGTGTGGGAATAATTGTTTACCCAAACATTCAACTACAGACAGACTTGGGGATAACATACTCGCATCAGGCACCAGGTAATCACAGTATCAAGATAAATTGTTGCCTAATGTTTGTAGTCTAAAATTGTGTTTACTATTTAACAAGAAGCCTCAAGGACAGATAATGATGTTACACCCACCAAGATTAACGTCGGTAGTTCCTAAATACCCGGTTTCATTCAGCTACAAGCGACAGCAACCCGCTTTGCATAGATTTCGATAATTGAGTGTTGAATCTTAAGAAAGCAATGGCAAACTAATGAACGTAAAACTACCCTGAAAAAGCAGCAAACAAATGATTTGCGTTCCCCTGTAAAGGATTTTAAAAATGCAACTACTATTTGTTAGCAGTGTTCGAAATTCTGATTCTCGGGGAATGAATGAAGAACAAATTCTAACTTTAAACTTCAGTATATTATTAATTATTATACACACTGATCTAGTGAGCGAGAAACTAAATGTAGAATCACGACACGCAATGCAACATGATTAATAATCATATGTAACTGCAAGCAAGCAATCAAAGAGTGCACATTTATGGACTTGAAAGTTGTGCTGAAGGGGAATGTAGATGATGTGATTCCACAAACCACATACAAGAGGAAACAAAGAGTCACGTGACACGGTCTAAACATAACACTGGGGGGCCTCGTGGAGGGGGCCCATTATCTGTCAGCGTTATCTGGGCACAGGGGGTCGGGTTACTGTGTGGGAGTTGTTATCTGAAATAAGATAAGGAAACTGTCCTAAGCTTTGAAACGGGATACAAATGTGATTTTACTGCTTTAACATTTTAAAATAGTGTTCACAGATTGAACGTTGATCCTGGCTGTTGCTAGGAAGTTAATGCAGTCAGGGCCGTCTTCACGCTGAGGCCTGATAGTCACTGGCGAACATCACCTAGCGAACATACGTGCCCCAAGCTAACTGTCTGTCTATATGTCATTCCTGTGTGCGGTTGTCGTAAGGCGCCCCCATGCTAACTGTCCATCTATATGTCATTCCTGTGTGCGGTTGTCGTAAGGCGCCCCCATGCTAACTGTCTGTCTAT